GCTTTTTTTCCGGCTTTTCCCCAAGCCGGAAAAAAAGCGGCGGACATGTTTATTTAAATCCGCGGGGGATATTTAAATCCCCCGCGGATTTCCCTATCCTGACTTACCTGATTTGCATGGCTTTTCTGGAAATTGTGGCCAGTGTAGACATAGCCTTCCAGTTTCTGTTGCTAGTTGGAAAGCATAGCTTTTCAAAGTTAAAATTGATAAAGACATACCTCTGCTCTTCCATGCTGAGAGATTTGTTGAACTGGCCACCATCTCGATAGAACACGAAATAGTTTCAGAACTTTGTCTCAAACAATCTTTTGCCCAATTAGGGAAAAAAGCACAAAAAAAAAAGTTCTAAATGTTGGCACAAATCGATAGCCCAGTGCAAAAGGGTCACAACTCAAATACAAACTTCATTCAGTGTTCAAGAATAGAGATTTTCTCAGCTTCCCCAAAATCAGTTCCTTAGGAAGGAAGACAGTTGCAGTTTGAAATGCAACTGTTTATAGAGCTGACCAGAAACACTGTGTACTACTCAAAATGGCTAAAACTTTAAAGTCTCAGCTACTGGGCAGCTTACCCTATACAGTATAACTGTGTTAGGATCAATGAAGAGTAGAAAAATATCATTTTGTTACATTGTTCATTTTGAATGCCAAGTAAATACATGTGTAAAATTTATTCTAGACATCTAATTTTTCTCAAATTGAAGGAAGGGAGAGGGCCAAAATCATAGTACGCTTAGGCACCAAAAGCCCTTGGGTTGGCCCTTGTATAGGGATTGGGTCATTTGGACCTTACTGTGCTTTTTTCTCCAATTGTTTACCCCTGCATAAAACAAGACAGTATTGTTGTTCTGGCGTAAAACTGGAAAAAGTGAGAGACCAATCAAGCCCTTTAACTCTATATATTACTTGACCACTCTGTTGCATATGAGAGACTGGGCTTGGAGGGACTTGGAACGCTCTTTCTCATTTCAGACTAATAGCTAACAATGAAAATAACAAGTAATTGTCCTGAGGATGAGCTCACTGGTGTGTCAGTGTGGTGTACATGGTGTTCTAAAACCATTTTATTTTCACTTTCAGAAGAACTCCTCAATAGGGGACTGTTAGAATCCTGCACTTGCAGAATCTCTGCACATCTCATTAGCAGTGAAACAAGGTCAATAATATTCTTAGCTGCTTGCTTTGCTCCTTCAGCATAGTGCAAACACCACTGAGCTACAGTTCTGATCTCAACTGCTGTAACTCTATGCTATGCTGTGCTGTGCTTTCATCTGCCTCATTTTCCTGGCTCTTCCTGATCATCATCAGCATCCTTTAAATGTGATCTTGAAACCCTAGGCCAAACTCATCCCTAGGGAAACTTAATTTGAAGCCTATAGAGTTATTTCAGGGATCAGTTTGGCCTGGTATCTGAGATGTCTATGACTGTGACCTGTTCTTTCCTCACTCTCTTGTTACGATAGATGTAAAATTAGAAGTAGGAATGTGAATGTTTAACCAGTTAACCAGCAGGGGTGGGAAAGGAATGGTGGGTTCTTAGCACCCACTGGCAGCCCTGCTGATCAGCTCCTCCCACGTCCTTCCCAGTGCCTTCTGCTCACCATGATCAGCTGTTCAGTGGGCAGGAGGTGCTGAGTAGGCAGAGGGCAGGGCAAACATGGGGTACACTTGGGAGATGGTGTGGAATGGGATAGGAAAGGGAAGGATAGAGCCTGGAGGGAAGGGGTGGAATGGAAGTCAAGCAGGAGTCGTGTACCCCCAGGGAATTGACATAGTTGGTGCCTGTGTGTCTAAGGCCCAGAACTCTCCAGCTCAAGGAAGTAGGAATTACTATTCTACATTCACTAGCTTTCCTACATGTTCCCAAATATCGTTCACTTTTCTTCTAGTGTTCAAACACTTCTTAGATTCAATCTACCTCCATCCTCTAAGAGTGTGTCTATTTTGGAGTGTTTAACTTCTATCTTGAGTAGACATACAAGCACTTGATTGAGCTAGTGGTCTAAAGAAGTGTATCCACAATGGTCTGAGGAGAAGGAATGGCTATATGTTCACATATGTGTCTGCAGTCTTGACAGGATTGTGTTCGGGTCACCTAGGGCACATCTACATGGCAAAAATCGAACTATGATACGCAACTTCAACTACGTCTTCCTTCGATTTCTCTTACTCCTTGTGGAATGACTCGGGTCACCTAGGGCACATCTACACTGCATGGCAAAAATCGAACTATGATACGCAACTTCAGCTACGTCGTCCTTCGATTTCTCTTACTCCTCGTGGAATAAGCGTTACAGAAGTTGGAGTAAGAAATTATTTCAGAATAACGGCTTGCTGTGAAGACGCTCTGGAATGAGCGTTACAGAAGTTGGAGTAAGAA